ACCTTGCTCAGGCCTAGCCCAGAGGGAACAGGATACCTCTGAGTCGCCTTCTCCCAGGGAAGGTGGGTATGGCTTGGAGGAGGATCATGAGATCATCTGGAACCTTCTGTGCAGGACTCAGAGCTACAGACTGCCTGAGTACAGATGTCAGGACCTCGGGAGAACTGTTCCCAGTGCTGATGTGAATGGTCAGGGGTTCCAGAAACTAGTGTAATGGGATGCAATAAGCATTGCTTTAGAGCAGTGTTTCCCAACCTTCTCTCATGATGAGAATCACCTGGTGGAGTTGTTAAACGACAGATTCCCGAATCCCAACTAAGAAGTGCTAAACTAGAATTTTGGGGAACATATAGGTAAAATTGTATACTTAACTAGTGCTCTAAGACAGAGCACTAAGACAGAGCACTAAATTAAGAATACAATTTTACCTATATGTTCCCCAAAATTCTAGTTTAGCACTTCTTAGTTGGGATTCGGGAATCTGTCGTTTAACAACTCCACCGGGTGATTTTCTCATCATGAGAGAAGTTTGGGAAACACTGCTTTAGAGGAACTGGTAAAAGAGACCAGAAAAGATTACCCGATACATTCTGTGCCAGCCAATAATGCCAGCTTCCTTCACAGGTGCGGAAACTGAAGTTTCTACACAGGATTCGAACCTGTGGCCTGCAATAGCCAAAGCCCTGCCTCTGCAATCCCGAAAGCCAGCCCAGGAAGCACAGCGTCTGCGCCCAGCCGGCAGCCAATAGCAATGCACAGCCAGAGGACCCGCCTCACCGCCCGAAAGTGAGGGCTACCCTGGAAGAGCTTGGGTCTGTTATCTCGCGGCGGCCAATCAGAGGCCAGGGAAGGATTTCATCCGGCCCTCCCCCCACCCACCTCCGATTGGGCGGGACTAGACATAAGATCATGGTGTTGGCGGCTTCCGGATAGGGAGAAGCTTTTGAGCCAGGGTGGGATGTGTTGGGGCAGCGCCATTCTGTTCTTTGTCTGGGTGGGGCCTGATCCACGCGTGGGCTCCAGAGACCTTTCCTGTCCCCACATATAAAGTGGTTTCTTCCAAAATGCACGACCCCCTACCCCCGTGGTACCTCCGGAAGCAGACTGTACCACGTCCACAGAGCGATGGGGTGTGTCCGGGGGCTGCCCTGTCTCATTACCTCTTCATTCCCACCCCCCATGTCGATGCCCCAGGAATGGTTCAATCTTCGGTTCACGCCAACACAACGGAATAGGCTCTCTCATGTCTTCCCCACCGCCGTCTCATCCCTGTCTCCCCTCTAGCATGTCTCCCAGTGGACTCTCCCATCCTTTATCCTGATGGTCACTGAGCCTGGTGAAGGGGTCCCACCCCTTGCTGCAGAGCCGTGGGCCACGCATAGGCATTCCGCCCCCCCCCCCATGCCGCTGATAGAAGTGGCAGCATCAGAATAAAAAAAATGGCACCTCTCCCCACTAGAATGTCAATGCCACCTGGGAGGGCGTGGATTCCCAGTCCCCCCATGTCTCCACAGCCCCCAGAACAGCCCTGCACACAACAGTCACTGAAAAGGGGCTTTGTTGCACAAATGACTCCTTTGAACGGACAATTCCACTTGTAAAATATGTGTCCTGAGGAAACACACATGAACAGGGCTGTGTGCACAGCATGGGAGGAGGAAACACGTCAATGAAAATAGGTGATTCATGTTATGCCATGGAGTACCGGCTGACAGACAGAATGAGGTGCTACCACAGGAACATACCCCAAGTGGCTCAGGGATGCCACATCATTGGACACACTGCGCAGAGAGCTTGGACACGGTGACCACAGACCACAAAACAGCCCAGGGGCCTCACACTCCGGCCACAGGCTGGCAGAAAGCTCCTGAGCTCACACAGTGAGATGTAGGTAGCCTGTTATCTTACAGCTCTCATCCTCTGGCACAGACTCCTACAGACATCTCAGACTCTCACACCTTGGAACCCCAACACACCTCAGGGACCTCCCACACCGGGACACAGACACCAAACAGCTCAACTCCGCACACCATGGACGCAGAGCCCAAAACAGCCCAGAGACCTCACCACCTGGGATGTACATTAAAAATCTTGCCAAAGACTTCAGACTTTAAAAATATATTTTTATTTATTTTATTTTATTTTTAAAATATATTTTATTGATTTTATACAGAGAGGAAGGGAGAGAGAGAGAGAGTTAGAAACATCGATGAGAGAGAGTCATCAATCAGCTGCCTCTTGCACACCCCCTACTGGGGATATGCCCGCAACCAAGGTACATGCCCTTGACCGGAATTGAACCCGGGACCCTTCAGTCCCCAAGCCGATGCTCTACCATTGAGCCAAACCGGTCCCGGGTAATTATATATATATATATATATAATATATATATATATATATATTTTTTTTTTTACAGAGAAAAGGGGAGAGGGAGAGTTAGAAGCATCGATGAGAGAGAAGCATTGATCAGCTGCACACAATGTGTCCCACATCCCCAAACAGACTGTCCTAGCCACAGTCACTGTAGGTCTTGCAGAGAAGGAAAGCCACAGCAGCAGCCTCCTGCTGTGGATCCCGCAGGCAGAGCACTGGGGAAGAAAGCATTAAGTGTACCACTGATGGGAGTAACCCTTCCAGGACCTTGTGAAACGCCTAAATAAAAAGTGAATCCCTTCTCCTCCCCAACCAGAATGTCAGCTTCACGTGGGCAGGAACATTTGTCCATCTTGTTCTCTGATGTCTCCCCAGCACCTAGAACAAGGCTCGGTACACAGCACACACACAGTGTTTGTTGAATGAGTGAACCCTTTGACACAGCAATTACATTTCTAACACACACACGCCCAGAGCTGTGCGCGCAAGGCTGGTAGGCACAGGCGGCTGGGACAACCTTGTAATCTGCCATTTTTGGCCAATGGCTGCTGAAAAGTAAGATGATGGTGGGAGTTCATGTTATACCACAGAGCACCAGCCACATGTGATCAGAATAACTGGGACCTGTGTTTACCTGTGAGGGTGGCGGTGCCTGCCATAGGACATGCTGTTGACAAGCAAAAGCTACTGGGAGCTGGTTATGGTGACTATGTGTGTATGGAAACACTAGAAACTAATCCCAGTGGTCATTTTTGCAGGGTGAAGCTGGGAATGACTTGTGTAGTCCATATATTGATGTAATGTTGGAACCTTTTAAACAAAACTAGGTTCACATATTATTTGTATAGCTTTTAAAAAATATTTTATATATATATATATATATATATATATATATATATATTTACTTATTTCAGAAAGGAAGGGAGAGGGATAGAGAGATAGAAACATTAATGATGAGAATCATTGGTCGGCTGCCTCCTGCATGCCCCATATTGGGGATCGAGCCCGCAATCTGGTTATGTACCCGGACTAGGAGTTGAACCATGAACTCCTGGTTCATAGGTTGACATTCAATCACTGAGCCATGCCGGTGGGGCTGTATAAGTATAAAGGAAAAGCATATACTCAAAACAATATCCAGAGCACAGAGTGCGTACGGGGTAGGTATCTAGGGTATGTCAAACTCACATGCCCCAGGCTGGACAAGTGACCCACAAGAGAGAGGGAGGCTAGTTCAGGGTAAGGCAAATGTAATAGGGTTGATGAATGTTCCCTGCCTTTTAGCACTGGAGGGTGAGGGTAAAGTGAGGGATGGTTTGGGATGAAGAAGACCCCAGAGCTCACACCCTAAAAGAATTCAGGAACATTGCACCCTGAGGCACAAAACATTTACTAGTTTGGGGAGCCAGAAAACAGACCCATAAGTCATAGTGGTCATACTCTAACTCAGCTTCCTAATTTCATGCCCTGGACCCAGACTTCCAAACAGATAAAAGATCTCACACTATGCAAACATACCATTAAAGAGACCAGAGGCCTCACGCCCTAGAATAATGCCCCCTTCAACTTCAAGATAGGTGGCTTTTCTGTATTACAAAGCAATTCTTACACATGTACACCTGTTCTTCACAAACTGAATGTTTGCAACCCCTCAAATCCCTATGTTGAAGCCTTAACCACCAGTGTGATGGTACCCTGTTTCCCCGAAATTAAGACAGTGTCTTATATTAATTTTTGCTCCCAAAGATGGCACTAGGTTTTATTTTCAGGGGATGTCTTATTTTTCCATGAAGAAGAATACGGTACACATTTATTGTTAAATGAAAGTAAAGGAGATTTATTACCTGTATACAGTACAGTTGTATGGTAGTTGTCAACACAAACCAAACAAACTGTGAATCCTACAGTATCAAGAATTTACTCATTTATTCAATGACAATCATGTCATCATCTTGTGGAACATCATAACAATCCAATTCCTGAATTTCCTGGTGAATTTCTTGTGATCCATTTCTTTCAGAATCAGTGGACCAAATCTCTCATGTTTAGCCTGGGGGGGGGCTTATTTTGGGGGGATATCTTATTTTTCACTCAGAAGGAAACCTGTAAGTAGGTTTTATTTTCGGAGGCTGTCTTATTTTCGGGGAAACACGGTATTAGATTGTGGGGCCTTTGGGAGGTGATTAGATGAAGTGATGAGGGTGGGGTCCTCATGATGGGATTAGTGCCCTGATAAGAAGAGACCAGAAAACTTGCTCTTTCTCTCGTCATGTGAGGACATGGCAAGAAGATGGCCATCTACAAACCAGGTAGAGAGCCAACACCAGACACTGACCATACTGACAACCTGATCTTGGACTTCAGGCCTCCAAAATTGTGAGAAAATAGATTGTTTTTTAAGCCAGCCAGACTATAGTACTTGGTAATGTTGGCCTGAGCAAGGACACACCTTAAGCTTTTGCTTTCAAGATCCTGAGCTTTATGTCAGAGTCCTTGTACTTGCACCGCCTACCTCTCTCACCACTAGCAGTCCTCAGCCTGTGGCCCTCCCCCTCCTGCCCCTTGATCTCCAGGCGCTGAGCCAGAGGGTTGTCTGGAGGTCCCTGGGCAAGGTCACTTAGCCTGCCATGCTGTGCCGTCTGCCCTCCAGGCTGCCAGCCAGGATGTGGGGCAGGACTTCGGAGAAGCAGGTGAATGGGATGGTCCTTGGGATGGACAGGTGTTGTCATCAAGGCTGGGGACCTTCCAGGCCAGACCTGGTGACCTGCTTCCCTTCTATGTGGGCTACCTGGTGTGGGGGGCACACTTTCCCCTCTTCCTCTCTCTTTCTTCCTCTTTCAAAGGCAAGCAGATGGCAGCAGAGGGACACGGAAGGTCCTGCTCTGACACATGGTCAGTGATCCACATGTGTGCAGGAATGGGCTAGGGGCCAGCTGCAGAGCAGCTCCCTCGGGGTGGCTCAGGGGAGCTAGTTCAGCCAGAACATTAGGATGGGCCGGTGTAGGGAGGGGCCAGGAAACCCCACTGACCTTGAAGTCTGCCATAAGGATTCCAGGGGCCTCTGACACTTTGTAAAAAGCCTTTCCTGTGAAGGAGGCAGGGGGGAGGGCATCATGGTCTGAGCACTCTATTATCCAGGTAGAGTTATTGTGAGGAATAAAAAATGTATTTTATGAAGTGCTTGGAACAGGCACATTAAGCCTTTTGTGATTGCTATTTCCTGATGACCTGGCCCTTGCCTTCCCCTCCTGCTCATGCCTCACTCACCTTGGCTTCTAAGCCACAGTGGCCTTCCTCCTGTTCCTTAAGGGGTCAGCCAGCTCATCCTGGAATTTATGAAGATGGTGTTTCCCATTTGCAAACCAGGATCTGGGGACTGACTCTACCCTGGCAAGGCATTAAAAAACGGGAGGGTCCCTGGCAGGTGCTCAGCTGGTTAGAGAGTCGTCCAGATATGCAAGGTTGTGGGTTTGATTTCCAGTCTGGGCACATACAAGAATCAACCAATGAATGCATAAGTAAGTGGAACAACAAATCGATCTCTCTCTCTCTCCCCTCCTTCCTCTCTCTCTAAAATCAATAAATAAAAGTTTGTTTAAAACAGAGGCAGTAAAAAAGAAAGAAAGAAAAATAAGAGGAATAGGTTGAGTAGATTTCCAAAGACTATAAAAATGGGAATGTGCCCTGGCCAATGTGGCTCAGGAGACTGACCGTCATCCTGTGCACTGAAAAGTAGCCGGTTCAATTCCCAGTCAGGGTACATACCCATGGTCAGAGTGCGCATGCTCAGGTGAGTATGGGAGGCAACCTATCAATGTTTCTCTCTCACATTGATGTTTCTTTCTCTCCCTCTCTCTTCTCTTTCTAAAAAAAAAAAAAAAAAAAAAAAAAAAAAAAGTAAATTTTTTTCCCCCAAAATAAATTGGGGATGCGGCTAAGCAGTGCTTAAGGAAAGCTTTAAATGTATAGATCAGAAAAGTTGGATCTTTGAACAATTAACAAAATGTTAGTAATTTATGTTTTCTCTCAAGCAATTAAGAGAAAAAAAATATGAATTACCAATATCAGGAATGAAAAGAGAGTATTATTACAGATATTACCAATGCTAAAAGGTAAATAAGAGCTCTGGCTTGTGTTGCTCAGTGGTTGGAGTATCAGTACATGCACCAAAGGCTTGCAGGTTCAACTCCTGGTCAAGGACACATATGTGGGTTCAGGTTCAATCCCCAGCCTTGGTCGAGGCACACTAAGGAGACAACCAATCAACGTGACTCTCTCACATCAATTTTTCTCTCTGTCTCCCTCTCCTTCCCTCCCTCCTTTCCACTCTAAAAATCAATGGGAAAAATATCATCAGGTAGGATTGACAACATGTCGGTCATTTTCTCATTTTATTGCTTCTGTGTCGCTGTGGACATTCTGTATCCTTGAGGACAGCAGAACTTGGCAACTTTCTTGATGGTTCCTCCACTCATGAAAATAGAACACACAGAATTTTTTAAAGCTGGGCTCGGTGAAATCACTTGTTTAAAATGTCAGAACTTGAATGGAATTGAACATTGTGGAATGGAACAGAATAAAATAACACGTGGAATGGAATGAAATGGGAAGGAAAAAAGGGAAAGGAAAGAAAGGGAAGGGAGGGAAGTCAGACTTTGTACTGGGCACTGGGCCTAATTGTTGTAGTTATCCACTAATTGAATATTATTGAACATCTGCTAGTTGTTTGAGACACAGTGAGGAACAAAACAGAGAGAAAACCCTATCCTTATGAAGCTTATATTCTAACTAGGGGCTCAGTGCATGACATTCGTGCACTGGGGGGAGAGGGTCCCTCAGCCCCCCCTGCACCCTCTTGCAGTCAGGGAACCCTCAGGGGATGTCTGCCAAGGGGTCCTTAGTGCTGCCCCAGAGAGTCTCCTGCCACCACCACTGTGCTCACCAGCCATGAGCCCAGCTTCTGGCTGAGTGGCGCTCCCCCTGTGAGAGTGCACTGACCACCAGGGGGCAGCTCCTCCATTGAGCATATGCCCCCTGGTGGTCAGTGTGCATCATAGCGACCGGTTGTTCCACCATTAGGTCTACCTGGTATTTGCATATTAGGCTTTTATTATGTAGGATCAAGAAGACAGATATTAACATGGGCAAAATGCCCTGAAACCAACGGTACAAGGACGGCCCTTATGAGGAACAGGCTAAAGAGCAATGTGGCTTGGGGTTCAAGAACAATATATGAGGCTTATAGAGATTGGGGGACATTAACTCCATTGGCACTTGCTGCCTGCAGGAATTGTTCTAAGCCCTTAAATATACAACTCTTCTTTAAAATGTTTACAACAGCCTTTTAAGATATGTATAAAAGCATGTCCATTTTACAGAAGGGGAAACTAAGGCACAGAGAGATTAATTAAATGTCTGGCTCTAGAGTCTATTCTTTTAACCACCATGCTCTGCTACCTATGGTGCCAGACCACAGGCACCTTCCAATCCTGTAGCAGATGTAAGGTAAATATACAAATTACTGAAGAATGCAAATCAAGAGAAAGATCTGGTGGGAGATGTGCAGAGGACAGGAAGTTGGGGGAAGGAGGTATGCCCTCCTACTGGGTGTCAAGGCAGATTTATAAATACACCTTTGCCAGAAACATTTATTTTATCTGAAATGTTACCTTATTTTGTCCTTGGTGATCATAGCTGTGGAGTATGGAAAGATGGCAGGGTGTGTGTGTGTGTGTGTGTGTGTGTGTGTGTGTGTGTGTGTGTGAAACTGACCAATGGAGTGCTTGTGCTTATAACATTGGGCCTCCTCTGGGTCTTGTCATTTCTTGAAAAAGAGATGAATTCCGGTTTGGGGAAAGCAAGAGAGGGTTTGATCTTGGTCTCCACTCCCCTCATCTTTACCTCTCTCCCTCTGGAAGAAAAAAGAATAAAGCAGTGGAGAGTAGTCGTGGCAGATACATGGGCTCTTGTGAAGCCACACATGGGCAATAAAACTACTAAAGTTTCCTCTCAGGACTTTCCCCTTGAAATAGGGGTGAGAAGGAAGTATAATCATTGGGGAGGTGAGTGGACAAAGAAATAGGAACTGGGTATGACCAGCATCAATATGATCTCTTCTGATTTTTTTTAGTCATGGAGGCACAGCAATCAGACCCCTTCCCCATGTCTTATCCATAGACTTGACCACATCGTGATGACAGTAAAGAGTATCAAAGACACCGCCACGTTTTATTCCAAAATTCTGGGCATGGAGATCATAACATTCAAGGTAATTATTATTTTTTAAAATATATTTTTTATTGATTTCAGAGAGGAAAGGAGAAGGAAAGAGAGAGAGAGAAAACTATCAATGATAGAGAGAATCATCGATTGGCTGCCTCCTGCATGTCCCCTACTGGGGATTGAGCCTGCAACCTGGGCATGTGCCCTTGCCTGAATTCAAACCTGAGATCCTTTAGTCCACAGATCAACGTTCTATCCGCTTACCAAACCAGTTAGGGCTCAAGGTAATTATTTACACAAATGCCAAATTTTAGATGGAGTAAGAGTTGATGATAATACTTTAAAAATCCCACAACAAATCTGTGAGGAAAATTTAAAGGATAAGTGAAGGAAATTCCAAATTCTAAATAGAGGAACTTCCATGGAGAATGGAGAGATGGAGGGGAGAAAATTACCATAGAAATAATTCAAGAGAATTTCCAGTCCTTACATGGAAAGGGTTAGCTGAATATTCAGTACATTGATACTTAGATGTGCTTATGAAATTATAGAACATCAAAGTGAAAATGAAAATCCTAGGAAATTTCAGAGAGGTTAAAAAGAAAAGCAGTTCAACTACAAAGGAAAAAGAAATATGCAGATGTCAGATTTCCTAAAATTCGCATCAGAGACTAGAAGACAATACAAGATTTTTAGAGAAAATTTTCAACCTAGAATTCTATGTTTAACTAAACTATTAATCAAGATGAGGATAGAATAAATCATTCTTAGACATAAAAGAACTTGGAAATTTTGCCCACTTACTTTGAAAATTGAAATTATGCTACATCAAAATGAGTGATTAAGCCAGGAGTGGAGTAAGGAAGATATCAAAGCCAGGATACAGTGGATTCCAAAGAGAAAATTCCAGATGTGAAGAAAGCACGGGACTTGGTTGGAAAGTCTGCTAGGAGGATTCTCTGAAAGGTCAGAGGCCTCTAGGCACAGATCCTGCTTTGACTTTTCCAAACAACTCTGAGCCCCCGGGTATTTTACTGGAATGTTTAGACTTCAAAACATCCTTGCTTAAAGAACACTACAGACGCATGTGTATTCTCAAGGATGCTTGCCCTGCTGATAGTATCTAGAGCAGTGGTTCTCAACCTTTCTAATGCTGCAAGCCTTTAATGGTCTTAGGCTCTATGACAGTGGTTCTCAACCTGTGGGCTAGCAGGGTCGCCTAAGACCATGGGAAAACACAGATATTTACATTATGATTCATAACAATAGAAAAATTACAGTTATGAAGTAGAAACAAAAATAATTTTATTGTTGGGGGTCACCACAACATGAGGAACTGTATTAAATGGTTGCAGCATTAGAAAGGTTGAGAACCACTGATCTAGAGGTTATTTTTAGTTCAAGCTATTGCTCCAATAAAAGCCTAAGGAGGCAGTGGACTGAGATTGTCTGGTTCCTTTATCCAGGCAGTCCCTTAGTCCTCTCTTTCACAGAAACGTGTCAGAGTAAATCATTAATCCATTGCTCAGGGTCTGCTGGTCAGCCCCGTCACCCATAAAGATACCTAGAAGATAATCAGTCCAATCTGAAACAGGAGAAAGAAAGTTCCCAAGAAAGAGAGCTCCCAGGAAAACAGGAGGATTCCAGAGGTTGAATACTTGAGCATTCTAAATAATTGCAAAAGTGGTAATTGCAGAGAAAGCAAAAAATATTATTTCTTAAATTGAAAGAGCCCATATAATGGCAAAAAGGATAAAACATTTAAACTTAACATGAAATACTATGCATCAAAATAGAATTATGCAAAACAGACTATCAAGATGGACAGTTCTAAAACAGGATCAGGTCTACAGCATGGTACCACTTATATGCACATAGAACAACAATACAGCTTTTACCAAACATCAAACACATTATAATGGTTATCTAAGAGAATGGAGATAAAAAGAATAAGTGCATAAAGAAAACTACAGAGGGGCCTTGCATGGGCCAATAGTAATAATGAAGCATATGATGCCTCAATTCTCTATGCATGGACACAGAGGAATACAATTTCAGTACATCTAGGATCAAACCAAGTCCTAAAAGCTGCAGGAGTGTAGGGTGGATGTATCATCTACAAAAGAATGAAAAACAGATTAATATCAGACTTCTTATCAGCAATACCAGATTCAGGAAGAAAACAAAGCCACCTACTTAAGAGGCTATTGGAAAATAACTTGCAACCTTGAATTCTATACTCAGCCAGACTATCATTCAAATGTAAAAGTGAAATAAAGTCATTTTCTGATAGAGTAGATATGGTATCAATCATCCTATATAATAAAAGGGTAATATGCAAATCGACCGAATGGCGGAAAGACTGGTCACTATGATGCGCACTGACCACCAGGGGGCAGATGCTCAATGCAGGAGCTGCCCCCTGGTGGTCAGTATGCTTCCACAGGGGGAGCATTGCTCAGCTAGAAGCCAGGCTGAGGGCTGGTGAGCACAGCAGCAGTTGCAGGAGCCTCTCCCACCTCCACAGCAGTGCTAAGGATGTCCGACTGCCAGCTTAGGCCCACTCCCTGCGGCAGACCTAAACTGTCAATTGGACATTCCCCAAGGGCTGCTGGACATCAAAAAGTTGCAGGCCAGGCTGAGGGATCCTCCTGCCGCAAGTGCACAAATGTCATGCACCGAGGCCTCTAGTGGTGATATAAAATAAAATAAAAAAAACATAAAAATGATATAAGAAATGGGAGAGGTTGCCCTGGTTGGTTGGTATTGCTTAGTGATTACAGTGTCAGTCCATGCACCGAAGGGTCACAGGTTTGATTCCTGGTCAAGGGCATGTACCTGGGTTGCAGGTTCAATCCCTTGCCCCAGTTGTGGCACATGTAGAAAGCCACCAATTGATGTCTCTCTCACATTGATGTTTTTCTTTCTCCCTTTCCCTCCCTCCCTTCTACTTTCTATAAAAATCAATGGAAAAAATATCCTCAGGTGAGGATTAACAAAAACAAAAGAAAAAAAAAAAAAAAAAAAGAATGACAGAGGTTGAAAGGCCCAGAAGAGGGAGGAGACATGAAGAAAAGAATATTAGGGTCAATGGGATACTGGCTGTAGTTCATCTATCAAAACACACAGGTACTGATGGGTTGTTTAAAAATTATCAGGGAACCAACCGTCAAACCTGAGGGAAGGCAGGGAAGGTGGGAGAGGGGCTAAATGATCAACCAAAGGACTTGTATGAATGCAGATAAGCATAACCAATGGACACAGACAGTAAGGGGACAAGGGCATGTGCTGGGGAGCAGGAGCGCTGGGGAGAGGCCAATGGGGGAAAGGAGACATATATACTTTCAACAATAAATAACAAATTAAAAAAATTAAAAATAAATTATCAAGAAAACAAAATTATAGAATTCTATTGGGAGGGGTAGTCATGTGGATGAGCTAAATTCTCATGTATCACAGGGAGAGGACAGAGATGTCTAAAGTTGTTAAATCAAGAAATAGTGACACATCAGTTAGGGACTGTGTCTAGAGGCACATAGGAGAAAACCCAACTAGCAGTGGGTAAAGAAGGCAGAATTTTCTTTTTCTCTCATTTAACAACCACTGGAGAGGCAGGCAGGCAGGGCTTGGGCCTTGGTTGGGAAGGAGGAGGAAGTGAATGGGCAAAAAGTTCCAGCTCTCTGAGGCTGGGAGGTTCCCAGAAGCCCCACACACAACCTCTGCTGATCTAATTTGGGTTGTGTTTATAAGAAAAAAGGGAAAATTTATATTAAGTTGACAAACTGCTGTTTCTGTGATGGATAGTATAAACACATTTGGAGATAAGGAAATAATTTCCAGAAGAAATAAACACACACATACACACGTTAAAAGCCTGGATTTGAGGAAACCTCATGCCTGGAATTTGAGTAAGACCTCCCTGGGTCCTGCTTCTGTTTTCACTGTAGGAAATGAGACTAGGGTGGGGCACAGGGTTGTTGTTGTTTTCATTAAATAGCCCTTTTCTACATTTAAAAAATATATTTTATTGATTTCAGAGAAGAAAAGAGAGAGAGAGAGAGAAAGGGAAACATTAATAATGAGAGAAAATCATCAGTTAACACTGGGAATCGAACTGTGACCCCCTAATTCATAGATTGATGCTCAACCACTGAGCCATGCCAGCTGGGCCCTGTTCTTTATTTTTTAAACGTGTTGGGGTAGGTAACAGGGCTTTGTCTCACTCACTCACCTTGGTGGTGTAACTCTAGGTTGTTTTCTCTCCCCCGAAAGGAAGACAGGAAAGCACTGTGCTTTGGAGACCAGAAATTTAACCTTCACGAAGTGGGAAAAGAATTTGAACCCAAAGCTGCTCACCCAGTTCCTGGCTCTCTGGACATATGTCTGATTACAGAGGTACCTTTGAGTGAAATGGTCCAGCACCTCAAGGTGAGTCGGACTTCCATTCTTTTCGAGAAAGCTGCTGCAGATGCGGTAAGAACAGAAGCATGACCCAGGGGGGTCCTTCCTCAAACTTCAGGCAGAACATGTTTCCTTGGATCCAGATAATGCCTGAATACAATTGTTCACTCATTATTTTTACTGACATCTTTTCCCCCCCACATACACAAATGCATTTTAAAAGAAAACTTAACATCCCTTGTAAAAAAATCATACCTAAATTATCTTTCTATAAATACATTTATGTAAAAAGAAAATGTTCAACCAAATCAATGAAAAACTCATTATATCTTGGCACAAAAGGAAGGTAACTGTAAAAACAAACAGTTATGAAAGCATCACAATGTCATTCCATTCTATCTATTTCCATCCCCTGACATTCCAAACGGAGATTTGGCAAGTGGCGGAGGAGTTGCTAAGGACTTGTTAGTGTCCAGCGGAGTCTTTCTTCTTGCTAGAATCAAAAGGACTGAAGAAAGAATTATTTGTAACTTGCTATTATTTAATGTTGGTGTTCCTGTACCACTTACAATTATTTCATGTAAAGGGGGCATTGGTTTTCCTGTTGGGAAAACAGATAAAGGTCTTAAATGTATTCTGTGCAAATATAGTGGACTCCTTTTTTGGAAAATATCAATGAAATAGTTTTGTTTGAAAGTAAAGTAGAGAAAGCATAGGGGAAAGAGTATGAACTTTGGCCTACACTGCCTGGATTTAAATTCTGACTGTACCACTTACTAAATAATACTAGACATTATTTATCATCAACCTCCTCATTTCACAGATGAGAAAACAGGTACAAAGCATTTATCTGCTTAAGGCCAGAGAGCTGGAATGTCGCTGGAGCAGAGGGAGGGAGAGGAGAATGGTAGATGAGGTCAGAAAGATACAGGGGTCTTCTAGGCCTTTATAAAGAATTAATTAAGTTTTGGTCTCACACATGGAATGGAATGAATGACTTTTGTCTTTTCTTCCTACTTCAGGCTTGTGATGTCCCTATTGAGGAGGGTCCAGTCCCCAGAACGGGGGCAAAAGGGCCCATTTTGTCCATCTACTTCCGAGACCCTGACGGAAACCTGATTGAGGTGTCCAACTATATTTCCCCATGACTGAAGCTCGCCCTCCACCACTTTGTTCCCTGAACTGCTGCCCGTTTTCTTCCCTAAGACCCTCACCAGACCCAGAGGCCTCCAAGAACTGATGACTCAGGCGCTTCGCACATCCTGCTGGGGGAACCCGAGATGGGTTTGGAACCAAACCTACATGACTCAATGTTCTCCTTCCAAGCTGCCCCAATAAATTAATAACCTCTCAATTAATATAAGCTCTTTGTTATTATGGTCTTGGCCTTACATACGGGTGTTTGTCTAGCGCATGACATCTCTGACAACCAAATCCAGCGTCAGGCCCTTGGGGCTCAAGGTCTCCGACAGATTTCTCCTTGCCCGTGAACCCATCTTTTTTTTTATCCAATTAGACTCATCTCAATCCTTCCAGGTGGTACCTGATGTTTCTACCTCAGAAGCCTCACTGAACCCCAAGATCTCTATGATGGGACCTTCAAGGAGCATCCCAGATACTACCTCCTCTTGGTGTGCCTTATCTGATCTCAGCCCCAGGGGATGTGAAACTTTCTATCTTTGGATCTAGCAAGTCCGAACTCACCTCTGTTGAGGCTCAGCTCCTGGCATGTACTGAGCACCTCTGTGCTTGGCCCTATTCCAGACTTGGAGAGACAGCACTGAACAGCAGAGGTAAGCAAACCTTTATTTGTAGAGCTTCTATTCTAGTGGGAGACAAAATAAATAAAATTAAGCAAGGAAAATACTAAGTATGCTATAGGATGATAAATACCTTGGAGGGAAAGAAAACATGGAAAGGGGACCTCAGATAAACATCACTGTGGCAGTTTCCAATGGGGAAGCTCACTAAGAAGGAGACATTTGAGCACAGCCCGCAGAGATGGGGGGAAGCTGCATGATGGCTGGAAGAAGAGCATGCCAGGCAGAGAAGAGAGCCAGTGCAAAGGCCTTAAAGCATGACGGTTCCCGGTATGTGTGAGGGTAACAGGAGGAGACTAGTGAGGAGGAAGAGGGAGCCACGAGTGACAGACTGGATGAGTTCCCCAAGAGAGAAAATGTCAACTAGAGAAGAGGTCTAGAGACATTTAGAGTTCAGAACCAAGGGGAAGAACCAGCACATGAGGTAGACATAGAGCAGTGTTTCCCGAAGTGTGGTATGCGTACCCCCAGGGGTACGGGAAGAGTTTGGTGGGGGTACGCGTTGCACCGGAGTTTGGTGGGGATATGCACTGCACTGTGTTTAGCTGCGCCTAATTCTATGTTCTCATGAGTACGAGGGGTACTCAGCGTTACGAAAATTATAGTAGGGGTACACATATGTCAAAAGTTTGGGAAACACTGGCATAGAGGGAAGGGAAGAGTATGGCTTCTTAAATGAATGAGAGATGGATGAAGGAGCATGTATGAGTCTGTTTGAGGTGAGGGAGCCCCTAGTCTTGTGGACTCTGGTCTCTAAACAGTCCCCACCCTCAGGGAGCCCCAAAAATGCTAGGAAGAGAGGATGTGTAAGGATGTGTGCTTCTGCACATGAAAGGCTTTGCCAAAAGCTGTAGCAGGTTTCCTGCCTATTTTTAAAAGACAGCGTACTTTGAATCCAGATGTTATATGCCTGGAGATAGATGATTTATGGAAGGAAGGAAGGAAGGAAGGAAGGAAGGAAGGAAGGAAGGAAGGAAGGAAGGAAGGAAGGAAGGGAGGAAGGATGGAAGGAAGGAAGGGAGACGGGAAGGAAGGAGGGAGGGAGGGAGGGAGGGAGGGAAGGAAGGGAAAAAGGGAGGGAGGGAAAGGAAGAAGGGGTGGACAGCAGATGGTGAATGAATGAATGTTTAGCTGGGTGTGTGGGTAGATGATGGATAAATGGACTGATATTCACCACCCCTGGAGAAACTCTTTCATATGTTTGTGCTTAGAAAGAGAATATATTTTGTAAATTACAGATTTGCTGTAATAGGGGGAAAATTAGAAACAATCCAAATGTCCATCAGCAGATGAATTGTTAAACAAACCATGGTATATCCACTCAGTAATAAAAGGGAATAGTCTCATGAGGCCAGCACTGACCTGATATTAAAACCAAAGCCATAACAAGAAAGCAAAACTACAGACCAATATCTCATGAATATAAATGCAAAAATCTATACTAATAAAAGAGAAATATTTAAATTGACCATCACTTCACAATCCCCACCAGCCAATCTGGAATGAGTATGCAAACTAACCTCATCACCTCCATGGAGACTGACAGCAAGGAGAAAGTAGCTCACAGCATGGCCTGCTTGCCCATTGCCACAGTGACCCGGGAGCAGGCAAGCGTGGCCCACAGGCAGCTCCCAGCATGGCCTGCTTGGCCATCACTGCAGAGACTGGGGATCAGGCAAATGCGGCCTGCAGGCAGCATCCTGCACAGCCTTCTTGGCAGTCACCATGGTGTGCAGCAGGCAGGCTTCAGAGAGAGCAGAGAACCACAGGGAGTGGGCCTAAGACATCAGTAGCACATCCCCTGAGGGCTCCCAGATTGGAGAGGGTGCAGATCAGGGTGAGGGACAGGCTCTCCCCCCCATGCACAAATTTCATGCACTGGGACTCTAGTCTTCAATAAAATACTAGTAAATAGAATTCAGTAACATATAAAAGGTTTATACAACAAAACCAGGAATGCAAGATTGGTTCAATATATAAAAATCAATCAAGGTAAATATACCAGATTAATAGAACAAGGTACAAAAACTACATAACCTTAATAGATGCAGAAATTTTTTTTAAAATAAAATTTAATACCCTTCATGATAAAAACACTCAACAAACTAGGAATATAAGGTAACTTCCTCTCCCTGATAAAGGGCATCTACAAAAAGCCTACAGCTAACCTCATGCTTACTGGTGAAAGACAGAGAGCTTTCTCCTAGAGAGCAGGAACAAGCCCAGGATGCTTCCTCTCACCACTTCTATTCAACGTTGTACTGGAGGTTCTAGTCAAGGCAATTAGGTAAGGGAAAAAAAAGTCATTTATATTGGAAAAAAGAAGTAAAACTAACTCTATTTGCAGATGACATTTTGGACACAGGAAATCTTAAGGAACCTACAACAAAACCATTATATATACCGTATGCATATACACGTACATGTACATACATACTGTATATATACATATGAACTCAGCAAGGCTACCGAGTTCACACAAAAGATCACACAAAATTTAATCATATTTCTATACATTAGCAATGAATCCAAAAGTGAAATTGAGAAAACAATTCCATTTACAATAGCATCAAAAACAATAAAACAATTAGTAATAAATTTAACAAAAGGTGGGCAAGAGTTATGCACTGAAAGCTACAAAACATTGCTGAAAGAAATTAAAGGAGACTTAACTAAATGGAAAGACATCACATGTTTACAGATAAACGATTTTATAGTGTTAAGATGGCAAAACTCCCCAATTGATCTCCAGATGTCATGCAATCCCTATCATCATCCCATCTTGCTTCTTTGCAGAAATTGAAAAACTAATTCTAAAATTCATGTGGAAATGCTAGGGACCCAGAATGGTTACAACAATCTTATCTTTTAAATGGTTTTATTGATTTCAGGGAGAGGAAGAGAGAGGTAGAAACATTGATGAGAAATGCCAATTGGCTGCCTCCTGCATGCCTCCTATTGGGGATCAAGCCCACAGCCCAGGCATGTGCCCTGATGAAATCTAACCAGCAGCCTCCTGGTGCATGGGACTAAGCCCAGCCAACTGAGCCACTGACCGGCTACAACAGTCTGAAAAACAAAACACAGTTGGAGGACTCACACATCCCAATTTAAAAGCTTACTACATATCTACAGCAATCAACAGTGTGTAGTACCGGCATAAAAAAAAGATATATAGATCAATAAAATCGAATTGAGAGTCAGAAATAATATATTATATATGGGCAATTGGTTTTTGATAAGTATGTCAAGACAAGCCAATGGAGAAAAAATAGTCTTTTCAACAAATGGTGCTGGGACAGCTTTTCCATAAATGAAAGAATGAATTTGGATCCCGTACTCACACCAGATACAAATATTAACTCAAAATTAAGCAAAGGCCTAGCCAGTCTTGCTCAGAGGTGAGGAGGTCATAGTTTGATTCAGGGCACAGGTCCCACTTGTGGGTTTAGTCCCCAGTAGGAGGCATGCAGCCGATCAATGATTCTTTCTCATCATTGATGTTTCTATCTCTTTCCTCTCCCTTCCTCTCTGAAATCAATAAAAATATATTTTTTTAAATTAAGAAAATAAACTTATATAAAAAATAAATGTTTAAATGAACCAAAGACCTAAATATAAGACCTAAAACTATAAAACTTTTATAAGAAAACTTAGGCATAAACCTTTGTGACCTTGCATTAGGCAATGGTTTCTTAAATATGATACCTAAAATATAAGCAATCAAAGAAAATGTAAATAAATTGAGCTCTGTTAAAATGAAAAACTTTTGTTCTTCAAATGTAACTCTCAAGGAAATAAAAAGGCAGCCCAAAAATAAGAAAAAATACTTGCAAATCACATATCTGTAAGAATCTAGCATCCAGAATATACAAAGAACTCTTAGAATTCAACAATAGAAAGACAAATAACCCAGTTAAAAATGGGCAAAGAATTTGAACAGACATTTCTCTAAAGAAGATGTGCAAATGGTGAACCACCACATGAAAAAAGAGCTCAACATCATAAGTCATGAGGAAAATGCAAATCAAAACTATATTGAGCGCCGCTGGTGTGGCTCAGTGGTTGAGTGTTGAGCAAGTGCGAGTTGCCGACTCAGTCCCCAGTAGAGGGTGTGCAGGAGGCAGCCAATTGCTGATTCTCTTTCATCATTGATGTTTCTCTCTCTCCCTCTCCCTTCCTCTCTGAAATCAACAAAAATATATTTTTAAAAAGCAGAATAATATTGAGTGTTGGGAAGGATGTGAATAAATGGGAGCCCTCCTACAGCTTCGGTGGAGAACACTTTTGTAGTTCCTCAGAAAGTGGCAGAATTACCTGCCATTCTG